AAATCAGACTTTGCTCGACATGATAAGATCAATGTTGAGTTATTCTTCACTTCCTACTTCATCCTGGGGTTATGCCCTAAGAACCACCATGTATATTTTGAATCTAGTACCATCTAAGTCTGCATCAAAGACACCTCTAGAGTTGTGGAATGGTCGAAAGCCAGTTTTGAAGCATATTCGCATATCGGGGTGTCCAGCTCATGTGATGAAACAATAGACTGGGAAGTTGGAACCAAGATCAGAAATATGCATATTTATGGGATATGCAATGGGGACAAGAGAATGATTATTTTATATAGTCATAAGAATCAAAGGTATTTGTATCGACAAATGCCACGTTTTTAGAGCATGGCTATATGATAGTTTTTATGGCCCAGAAGCAAAGCAGTTCTGGAAAAGTTACTTTCCAATAAGATTGGACCACTACCGACAAGAGTTGTTGGAACGCAAAGAAGTAAGACCGCGATTCCTAATCAAACTCCTGTGGCCCCTTATCGTAGTGGGAGGGTAAGCAAGTTACCTGACCGGTATACTGAGGAAGCACAGATCGTCACTGCTAATGACGGTAAGGAGGATCTGTTGACCTTTAAGGCTATGATGGATGATTTTGATAAGGAAAAGTGGCAAGCAGCTATGAAACTCGAGATAGAGGCTATGTACTCCAACTCAGTTTGGCAACTTGTAGATCTACCTGAAGGGGTAAAACCCATTAGACGCAAGTGGATCTTCAAGAGAAAGAGATAAGTGGATGGAAAAGTAGAGACTTATAAAGCAAGGCTAGTGGTTAAGGGTTACACCCAGAAAGAGGGAGTTGACTATGAGAAAACTCTCTCACCGGTGGCCATGCTTAAGTCCATCCGAATACTCTTAGCCATAGCAACATATTTTGAATATGAGATATGGCATATGGATGTCAAGACAGCTTTTCTGAATGGCTATCTTGAGGAAACCATTAATATCGTTCAGCCAGAGGGTTACATAGAGAAAGGTCTAGAGCAGAAAGTCTGCAAACTGTAGAGATCCATTTATGGATTGAAGTAAACTTCTAGATCATGGAATATCAGGTTTGATGAGGCTATTAAGTCTTATGGATTTGATCAAAACCAAGATGTTTCAAACAAAAGAAAAGAAGAAGTTCTTATTCTTTACAAGCCCGAATATATGATATTCAGTGGGAGTAGTCAGTCGTTGTCAGTTGAACTCAAGATTCGATCATTGGGCAGCTGTACAGTGTATCCTTAAGTATATAAGGAAAATAAAGAAACTATAAGATAGTTTAGTTAGTGAAAGAGTTGTCTTTCACTGGATACATAGACTTTGACTATGAGTCATTGATAAGTTGATTTTTCATCAATTTATCCATGTCATATATTATAGTTTTGAGCAAATTTCAGTTAATTTGTCACTAGTCTTATGTTTATGTTAATCAGTTTTGTAGAAATTACAAAGTGGAGAAAATCGAGTGAAAAAGATAAAGAAGTCCATGAAAATCTCTATTTGTGTGGGCTGCAGTGCACTAGGAGCAAGCTACAGCCTGAGACTTCCAGAGAGCATTCCAAGAAAGAATTCCAGAGAGCATTCCAGAGAGCATTCCAGCTTCAGGCTGCAGCGCTCCATAGGGCACTGCAGCGCGCCCTGCAGCCAGCCTGACGCGCACTTAGGCACAGTTCAAGGCGCACTTAGGCGTGCATCCCAGAATCTGCCTGGGAATTGAGACGCGTGCTGCAGCGCACATCCCCATGGGCTTAGGCGCGCATCTAGAAAACCTTAGACCTCGTTGACATGCGCTGCAGCGCACATCCATGGGCTGCAGCGTGTCTATCTTGAATTTAGACAGTTGTGCACATTTGGGAGGTGATATAAAAGGAAAAGAAAGTTGCTGGAAGAGGGTTGGACACGGAGAGTGGAGAATTTAACCAGAGACACGGCTGGAGCTCTAGGTCTGAAGAAAAGCAGCTGTAACTAAGGATTTCTGAGATTTTCAAGGGGATTCAAGGCAGTTTGAAGGCTTTGGAGGAGATTATCCAATAGGAGTTCTTCATTACTTTCTCCCTTTGTATTTCTTGAATTGTTTGTTTAATTTTCTGCTTAAACTATGGATCTTTGGTATTTTGTAATTGTGGATTTAATTTCGAATATGGATAGCTAATTTCCTCACGCTAGGGGGGTTTGATCTAATTTAATGAAAGTTATATTTTGAAAGTCTGTTTGCTTGTTGAATGTTTATATTCCAATCTTTTGTGTCTCTTGTGCTTAATTTCTAATTTAAGTACCCATTTGATTAGAGACCCTGGATGTATGAAATTAGGCTCAGGAGAGTTAATTTTATACGTTGAGAATTAAGAGACGCAACCTATGGAGATATTGAGTTGGGAGGCTAGTATAACCTTAAGAGATCAAATATGGACTTAACTTAATGAATGCATAATTGGTAAAATTTATAGGGATATTAGTTTAATCGATTTCGCATATTATTTCACTTAGCGCTCGAGAGAGGGAGTGAGATTATCTTAGTACCCATGATCTAGGATTGAATATAATACATCAACAAGTGACGAATTTAGATAAATATAACATAATTAGGTGAAGTCGAATCCCCCCTAGCCCATTTTAAATATAGAGATCCCTTCGATCCAAATCACCTTCACATCCGTTGTTTGCATTTTTTAGTCTAGTTTAGTTGTTTAATTTAGTTTCAATCCCTTAATTTCATATTGTCTAGATAAAATCGGTTTAGATAAAGAGTGATACTTAGTTCTTCCTAATTAACAATCGCAGTGGGTGATACTCGATCCTCGGATCATTATTACTTCGCGATTCGTACACTTACGAGCACACATTAAATTTTAAGCAAAATTATTTTTGCGTACAAGGTTTTAGCGCCGTTGCCGGGGATTGGCAATTTAGGATTTAAGCTAATATTGATGTGAAATAGATTGATTTTAATTTAGACCTTTATCTTTATTTTATTGACTTAACTTTTGTTAATTTAATTTCTTTAATATATTCTTTTGGTTGCAGTGTATGCGCCGAGTCTATAGCTTGGAGACTGTTCCTTTAGACCAGAAATTGAGAGAACTATTTCGAGACTAAGAAAGGAACATTAGAATAGAAACTGAGTCATGGCAGAGGGTAACAACAACAACCAGCAAAGGGCTTTGAGGGATTACTTCAGAATAGAAACCGGTAGTGAATGAGAATTCTTCTGGCATCAGGAGGCAGCCGATCAACGCGAATAACTTTGAGCTGAAGCCTACATTGATAAATATGGTTCAGCAAAATCAGTACAGGGGGCTACCGTCTGAAGACCCTAATGTGCATCTAGCAATGTTTCTGGAGATCTGCGACACCATCACGATGAATGGTGGGGACCAGGACATTATCAGAATGCGCATGTTCCTGTTCTCACTTAGGGACAAGGCGAGGGGTTGGCTCCAATCAGTTTAAGCTGGTAGTATTGGCACGTGGGAAGAGTTGGCACAGAAGTTTCTAACCAAGTTCTTCCCTCCATCAAAGACCGCTCATTTGAGGAGCGAGATTACGCAATTCAGACAGATGGACTTTGAGCCTCTCTATGAGGCCTGGGAGCATTTCAAGGAGTTGCTTAGAAAATGCCCGCAGCATGGATACGAGGACTGGTTCTAAATTCAGATCTTCTACAATGGTCAGAATGGACAAACTAGGACAATTATAGATGCGGCATCAGGAGGGACGATGTTGTCCAAGACCTATGAGGAGGCCGAATTATTATTGGAGGAGATGGCCTCCAACAATGCTTAATGGCCAAGTGAGCGGTCAAGTGTGAAGAGGGTTGTAGGAATGCATGAGATTGATCTGTTGGTCGCTCTTTCAGCACAAATATCAGCTTTGACCAACAAGATCTCAGAGTTAACCGTAAAGGAAGCCACATCGAGTAAGGAGACGACTATGGTTGCAAGTACATCTTACACAGGTGAAGGTGGTGTTGCAGAACAAGTGCAGCATATGAACAACAAGAATTTCAACTGCCGAAGCAATAACATGCTGAGCAACCTGCCTACTCAGTACCACCCAGGTCTTCGGAACCACGAGAACTTTTCTTATGGAAACAACAAGAATGTATTGCAACCTCCTCCAGGGTATAGTCAGCCATTATCTCAGAGCAATCCGTCGATAGATGACCTGTTGAGCACGTTCATTGTAGAAACCAGGGGGCGGTTCAACAAAGATGAGGCTAGACTTGATAATATCGAGACTCATTGCACAAACATGAGTGCTACTATGAAGACTATGGAGACACAGATTCGCCAACTCGCTGACTCAATGAAGAGCCTATCATCCGGGAAGTTTCCTAGTGACACTGTGAAAAACCCCAAGGAGTAATGTAACGCAGTCACCTTGAGAAGTGAGAAAGAAGTCGAGGTTCCTAAACCCCAAGAGGATAAAACCGAGGAAGAAGAGGTAGGATCGGAGCAACTGAAGGAGAGTGCAAGGCCTAAGTCGATCTCTTTTCTAGATAATCCTCCTCTCATCACTCCTAGCCTTCCATATCCGCAAAGATTCAAGAAGAAGAAGAAGATGGATGCTCAATTTTCAAAGTTTTAGAGATTTTCAAGAAGATCCATATCAACATTCCGTTTGTGGATGCACTTGAACAAATGCCTAATTATGTCAAGTTTATGCAGGATGTCATGGCAAAGAAGCGAAGGTTGGAGGATTATGAGACCGTCAAGCTAATGGAAGAGTGTAGCGCTATCCTTCAAAGGAAATTGCCTCAAAAGTTGAAGGATCCTGGGAGTTTCACTATTTCGTGTACTATTGGAGATTCTCACATCGAGAAGGCCTTGTGTGATCTTGGAGCTAGCATCAACCTCATGCCTCTATCAGTTTTCCAGAAACTGGGGCTTGGAGAGGTCATCCCTACAACCATCTCCCTGCAAATGGCGGATAGGTCCATTACCTACCCATGGGGAATCATTGAAGATGTATTGGTAAAGGTGGATAAGTTCATCTTCCCGGTTGATTTTGTAGTGTTGGTTTGAAAACTGAGCAGGTTCAAGATTCCCATTCTAAAGATTTCCATAAGAAGCCTCGAAAAAGCCAATTAAGACAACTTCCTTTGCATGCTTTAGAAGTCAGTATGCTCTTTGCATTCCTATCACTGTGGTTAAGTCCTTTCGTCCTTCCTACTAAAGTGTTGGGAATGGTGTCCTAGAAGCATAAGATGTAATAGGATATTTATTATTTATTTAATAAAAGAGTTTATTCAACATTTTATGTGTATATATTTGTGAATATTTTATGAATATCAATAAAAATTCTGTGATTATTTATGTAACCTTAAACATTGTATATAAGTGTTATATACGAGAGGATAATGTTTAAGGATAATAATCAAAAAGCAAT